GTCACATCAGAGACAGAAAGACCGCATGCCCTTACTGACACGCGACTTGGGAAAGCAAACATTTAATTACACCATTCCATTGATGAGACCGCATTCAATGCGGTAAAGCTCGGAATTGAAAGGCAATAAATGTCTCTAAGGCTGGACATTTATTGCATCCTCCCCGAGCGGGGATCATCAAACAGTCGGCAGCCTGATGACACAGCATTGATTGCTCGGCTCCCCGAGCAGTTAAAGAAAGGAAGACATTCCTCATCAGAATCAGTGCGCACACTGCCAGTACCTAATGATCATCTACTGACGACACTGACAGCAATCATGAACTTTTGAGGTATAAATACTCCTCATAAAAGGCAAAAAGGTATGCAACAAGAAACTCTTTACTACGAGAGATACTCAGTGCTTTCTTCTCCCTCTCCCTTTCAAAAGCTGACTTGATCGTCGGAGGGGATAAGCCGGAAAACACTCCGGCGCCCTTCTAACTTGTTCTCCTTTGTTTCAGGAACCTTTTCCCAGCCTTACTGGATCATCCTTTCAGTTCACGAGGGTCTCCTGTTACCGTTCCAGGTCACCACTGGATCTCACAGGCTGTCCCAAGCAGCTTGGTTGGTCACTCAACTGACTCACTCGAGTTCACCAAGGGAGAGATCTGTTCTCGTTTTTTATATTGTGCAAGATCCTGCACGCACACTCATGCACCACGTTCCAACCTCTTCCCACACTTTTTTGGATTTTAAATCTTGTATAAGGTCCATACTTCCGGTCCCCTTTTCACTTGTAACTTTTATTCCTCTGACTGTGACCAAAAGCTAACATTTTCACTTGGGGTTTCTCTTCTTCTACGGCAGAGAATATTATGAGTGCTGAAAGTGAGAGTATGTCTGCATACATGCTCATGGTTAGCATCCCCCATTTTTTTTGAGAAATGAAAGGGAAAGGTGTGAGTTGTAGATAGTAACCTCTCTGGACGTGATCATGAGAGTGTCTTACTGTAGAATGTTCGAATTGAATAATAATTATTAATCCGCAAGGCAGTTCGTCACCACAATTAAAGTTAAGTAACAAATCATGTTACTCCCGTAAATTAAACTCTACTTGATGACAATGCGTTTTGAAAATATGTATTTATATTGAAAAAAAAATACATATCGCAGCTTTCAAATACTGAAAGTGTGTTTTGAAAATAGAGTTAATCACAAATTATACCCTAAAAGATATCTTGAATTTTAATTTGCACCGTCAAAAAATAAAAATATCAATTTACACGCTCAAAGATATAAATTTATATTAATGTGCACCTAAAGCTAACATTTGTCTAGTTTGTCGTCTAAAATTAAATGGATAAATTACACTTAAACTCTCTCATATTTGTCACTTAATCATTTGGAGCCCCTTACATTTGAAATATTACTCCTAAACCCACTAAGAATCCAAATGTAACTAAAAATATTCCCTCAATTAGGCATCCAAAGAATTCTGTTTAAGTGATGTATTGTATTGGATATAAAGAACATTATATAATATCAGTACTCTTAAACATTATATAATACCTGTATTGTATTGGACATTCAAAGGGTAAGCTTGATTTTGAACTTTAGAGTATAACGGGTCTACAAAATAAAAAGTAGTATGGAAATTATAGTTGTTTATAAAGATGACATCATGTTTTTAATGGTTACATTAACGGATATTGACGACATGAGGTTATGTTTACACACGTACAAACGTTAGAGGGTGTAAGTATAATATTCTAAATGTGAGGGGTCTTGTGATTAAGTGACAAATTTGAGGGAGTACATGTGTATTTTATCTATTAAGTTTTATACGATAAACTGACATCTGTTAACTTCAGATACATATTGATACAAATTTGTATCTTTGAGGGTGTAAATTGATATTTTTTATCTTTGAGAGTAAAAATTAAGATTCGAAAGATCTTTCGGGGTGTTACGATTAACCCTTGAAAATATGTATTTATATTGGAAAAAAAATAAATGAGTTTGAACCAAGCTTCAATCAAAATAATGAAATTTTAAAAAAAATAAAAATTATAATATTGAGGTAAAAATGTTAAAAATATCACAATTGAAGGGCAATTGATTTTTCCCGTTTGTTTGTGTAGCTCTTTGTGTTCCTCATTGTAAAAACGTGGTTTTGGTACCTTCTCCATATTCAGATCTATGGAGAGTGAGATAAGGCATACCGACTTAAGTACCAATTTAAGGTAATTTTGTTAAACTACAACACGTTTGAATTTATTTATCAAATTATAATATTTTTTAAAAAGGAAAAATTGTGGAAAAGTACACAATTTAGAACTTATTTGTGGAAAAATGCCTTAATATAAAACATATGTGTAAAAGTACTTTTGTGTGTAAATTTTTGGTCAAAAGGTACACTTATGCTAAATTGTAATTTTTTTTTTACAAAATTATCATTTTTCTTTATTAATGGGGTCACAAATATGACAGTTATATTAGAGATTCAGTTTCCACCCCAATGTATGTTTTTTTATTCAAGGTTAATGGTGTGGTCGTCACTATCTGCAACAAAGATTTTCACTATTACACATTGAAGCCACGTTGAATAATAAGTTTTCAAAATTGTTAAAGTGAAATCACCAAAATTTAACACTGCACCCATCAAGTAAACGAAAAACTCATTCTGAACATTATGTATTGAGTGGAAGTTTTTAAATTTGAATAGTGAATCCACAAAAAAAAGAAAATTAAAAATGGATTGAATAGAAAACACGTTCTCGACATCATGTATTGGATGGAACAAAAAGAATGATGAGCAAAAACAAAAGTATCAATGGTTCATTTTCATCTGCACAATATAACAACTATAAAGCAAACAAAAAGGTACAGTGATATTGAAATAACAAAAAACAGAGTACCCATTGACCACTCTTGTTCAACCCATTTCCCTTGTTTGCATTTTAGCAATGGATTCCCTTGTTCGCATTCTGTCTCTTTCTCAGTTTTCAAAGTTGAACAGTAAACCCATTAAAAAAAAATGAAAATGGGTTGAACGAGAAACTCATTTTGAACAATCGGTATTGAATGAAAGTTTTCAACGTTGAACATTGAACACATCAACCAAAAAAAAAATAAAAATAAAAAATGGGTTGTACGAAAAAACCCATTCTGAACAATGGGTATTGAATGAATGTTTTCAAAGATGAACAGTGAACACATCAACGAAATACCCATTCTGAACAATGGTTATTGAATGGAAGTTTTCCAAGTATTTTGTGAACAATGGGTATTGAACAGTGAACCCATCAACAACAAAAAAAAAAAAAAAAAAACCATTCTGAACATCATGACTTCAAATGAGTAAAGGGTTTAGAAAGTTTTCTCATACCTTTGTATCCACATTGTAAGGCTATGTCTTTACCGATTCCTTCTTAACCCTCCAGTAGTTCCTTTCTCACTTTCTCACAATGAAACTCATCCAAAGAACAAAAAAAAATAATAATAATAAGATTTTGACCATCCTATTTTAAAATGACGGAGGTTTTAGGAAGTTATGAAATCAATTTTGAAAATAACCCACATTTTTGACAATATCGAAGGAGTTACAAAATGTAACAGTCCATTTCCCGTTATTTCGGCTATAGAGGCAAAAATTAAAGAGATTATTCACATTCTTTCGATTGGGATATTTTAAACATTTGCTATGTATTATGTACTTTTTGACAAATGTTTTTAAAAATGATACTTTTTACCCTATATTTTTTAAAAGGTAACCGATTCCCCTTAAATCCCTTTTTAAAAAGTAGAGTCAAAAACTCTACTTTTATTAAAAAGTGGGTCATTGATTCCATTTTTAAGTTTAAATTGTAGACTTCGTATAACAACCCCGCCATGTAACAACTTCCCATTATATGAAGTACACAATTTGAACTAAAAAACGGGATTATTGACCCCGTTTCTCGCTTCTTAATAAGAGCGAAGTCAACAATCCCGCTTTTAAAAAAATATCGTTATTTGGTAAATAAATTCAAAAATATTGTAACTTGGTAATTTTATTTCAAAATTGTCATAGGTTAGTACTTAATTCAATATCATATGTGTCGATGTCCTCTTTGTCAATAGTATGCCCTAAGATCAATGGCACAAATGGTATTAAAGTTGTACTAATAATATTCATTACTTAATTAAATATAAAGACAAGTTTATTTATCATGTTACTAATTTATTTTATTTTAACATATATGATAAATTCCATAGATTATGAGTTTAAAAGATCATTTTTCAAGGCATTAAGAAGATGAAACTTATAATTCTTAGTACTTAACTCTTAAATATTCTTAATTATAGAATTATTATGTGAATACTATATAATCTGAATAGACTAACATACACTATGCTTGTTTAAATTTAATATAAGTTGGCTCGTCCAATCCACTAGTAGTGACACTAGAGCACGTGTGTGAGTCATGTCCAAGTCAAATTTAATATGCTTGCTCAAATTTAAAGTGATCCATAAACTCATGACTGATTTCGAGTTTTTAGTTTCGACCCTAAGTTTGCCTCCTCAAAATGCAACTTGGCATATGCTTGAAATGTAAGTTGATCTTTTTTTTTTTTCTTTATTTAAAATTTTTCCTGGAGAGGACGCTAGTGAGGTTCAAAACCACGACCTAATGGTCCAACGGCAGGCTAAGAAGCTATTAGGTCACCATTGATCCTCTAACTTGATCTAATCAGGTCGTAACTTTCGGTGTGGTACTGTGTTACTCTTCCCGGCTGATAGATCTCTCTATGGCTTCATTTAACTTTACAGAATGGTGGTGTTCAACAGAATACCCAATACCAAAAACCTTGGCTTCCAATGGCTACCAGATTTCATAGCAACAATGGTTTGAGTTTCACTCTTCGGCTTGAGATGGACTCCAAGTAAATAAAGATAAGTAGCTTGAAACAATGTGAACCTTCAGCCAAAAATCTAAGACCATGGTCAATACATCCACAGATTGATTCACTTACTCTGAAGAATAATCAACTATTGGTATTATTACTATTTTCAAATGGTATTATTACCAATTTTATTGTAAATACACGATAGGCAACATAGCCAAACCCAGGAAAAAAATCCAAATTTTTGGGAAAAGCGGTTGAGATTTACCTCTAAAAAGAAAGCAGCTAATTTGCATAAAAACACCATGCCATGCCTTCTAAGTCCTCTAGGATCTCAACCATCCAACTGATAGCATTGCATCAGGCAAAAGAAAAAGTATGATCATCCTGGTGGTGATGACTCTGCCAGCTCCTTCAACAGTGATACTACATCAGCTGATGATCCAAGAAGATACCGGGCACTTGATCGCTTCCTTCCAACAGCACAAGAGAAGTAGTTATCGCCCTTAAGATCAAGAACAGATGAACCCTCGTGTACTGTCATTCTATCACGCATTATAGAGCAACAATTCCCGTTTCCATTATTGCTTGTTCGCTTCTCTGAGGCAGGAAATATCTGAGGGCCCTTACTACGAATCGCCCTGAACGCACTTTTCCTTGTTGAACCATTTGAAGCAGCTCGATTGACAGGATTGGCTACCTTTACTCTTGCTGCAGCCACTGGTCCAGTAGGAAGCTCTGGCTCAAAAAATGTGTAGATGTCTTCATCCTGAACCAATATTCCAACAAGTACAAATTTATTATCATCAATAGATGGGAATGAAGCAGTGTTATCAGCATAATGAATATGGCAGACCTTAATTCAATTCTTAAGTGACACCAATCCCTCAGCAGTGCCCAAAATTTTAAGGTCTTAATCAGGTAATTAGAAGTAACCATTGTTACTAATGCAGCATTTATGAAGGCATTAACTACAGCAAATGCAGAAATGCTTGGTTTTACAAAAATAACCCTGGACATCCCAGTGTCTCGTGATGTAATTATTGGACAATCCCACAATTCTCGACACGCTTCACTAAAATCAAGGAGTGGTGGTCGACAGTGTACCATCCATTACTTATTGGTTCACCTCCAATTAAGACCACTCCTTTCATTTGTTAACATCACATTCATGAATTTTGGAGACAAGGAACTTGTCGTTGCACGTTTTTCGCTTATAGTATATTGCCAAGGAAAAAAATAATTGAAATAAAAAACAAATTAAATAAGATTTTCCTTTGGGAACAATCAAGTTGGAAGAACATTCTTCATAAACATATTCAAACAAGTGCATAAGTATTGACAATATTTTTGCAGTGAAAAGGATGCTGCTTAATATTTGGAAAAGATCACCTACCTTCGGCAGAAAGTGCCCAATACACAAGACATAATCAATGGGTGCCTTCACATCTTTGTTATGGACTATTTCCCCCAGTATACGATCAATCGCTGCGCCCTGTACAGACATGAAAATTAGTAAAGGTAAAAACAAGCATTTCCACTACACAACAGAAATTAGATTTTCTTTCACCTTGGTGACGCCAACTGCTCGGACTTCAACTGATCGGCGACCTTGGACAACATCCACAGCAGCATTTGAGATAGGGCCTGTCAAAAGATGCTGTAACATATCTCTAGCTTGAAGCCTTCCGAACTCCACATCTACAATAGCATTCTCAGCAGAAAAGCATAATTAGAAAAATCATATAAAAAATAAGGTCTAAAGGGAATCAAAAATAAAATTAGGCACCTGCGTATTTATAATTCCAGACAAGTGAAGTCTCACGAAGCTCAAAATGAGACCGGGGTGTTCTCTCCGTGAAATACTCAAAAACATGCTGAAATGATGGAAAAGATTCTGGGGCTTGGAGTTTGAAGAATTCAATAAATTTGAGTGTATATTCAATTTTTAAGTATTGGTATAGGCACCTTTACACTGTCAACCCAATCCATGTGTAAATTTTCTGGCATTGTTGTCATCCAATCTCCCTTCGTACGACGTAAAAACATACCATGTTCCGCTGCCAACCACATATTGTACTCACCAAAGTTCTGTCAAAGTGGATCAGTCAAGAACTAGAATTTACTAGGGACAGCAAAGAGGGTAATTAGTGAAACTAGACTACCTCATCCAGGACACTTCTATCGCTTCCACTAAGAACAACAATTGTTGTCTTTGGATCATCACAAAGCTTCTTTAGGGGTTCCTTCAAGTCTGGATGCAACTTGAGCTCCATTTCCTTGAACTGATCAAACCTTCTTCCTGGGGCATTCACTGGTTCTGTTAACGTTGCATTGAATCCCTGCAAATTATAAGCACAAAAAATATTGGACACTTAAGGTGCTAACCAAGCCTAAAATGCATGTAACAGAGTAACAAAACCATAACTTTTGTTGGACATATCATTCTTGCTTAAACACCCCATTCCAAAATTTATCAGAGCCCATTTCAGCAGAACATGATAAGAACACGAATCATCAAGCAAGAAAGTAACTGAATAAACCATCCAAAATATCTAACAAAGGTTGCAAGTATTGGGAAATTTTGTTTTGTAATGAAAGATGAAGTGGTTTCATGTTCTAATGTAATGGGACTCTCAAAACTAGAAATATCTACAAATACAATATCATGTTACTTGGTTTCTTTGTACGAACAATGCAAAAGCACATTAGAGAAAAGCAATTACTACCTACAGAAAAGAAAAGGAAAAAGCAATTATCAGCTATTGACATTACTCATCTCACAGAACATTAATTTTATGAGTAGAGCAAAGGCATCACATCTCCATTGACATATAGTCATGCCCTAAGCAATTGCATAGGTTGAAAGAGGGGTATTACATTAACAAGAAGAAGTGGCATCAAATATTTACATAACTCAACACAGGTCCCGGGATCTTCAAGGGAAGATAATATAATTCTGAATCATTGCTAAATTACATAGAGAGAGGTGACAAAGATGACCGAACATAATTTTCTTCCCTTTTCTTCTTACTTTTTTTGAGAGGTTCAAAGTGCTTAATATTCTTCAGACTATTACTAAGGACTACAAAGGTAGATAAAGTTAACTACGCTACCATAAAGGCTCAATTTTAGTATTCTTACGAGTGACTTATCGCATTTTCCCTACTCAACTTGCCAGGGTAAATTCATCAGACAGTTCAAGAGAGCAAACTTTGCCATTGTATTATTTTAGCAACCAAAACACAGTAGAACCTCCTTAAAGTTTGTCACATGGTTACAAGGAGACGTTTGAGATTCGATTAAAATCCGGAATGACCGTTGTCTAAAAAGATTTTGAATGCATATGGTTATGTAACCTGCACTCTCTATGAGGTCTGTACTTGCATCCATTCATTTGTTTTCTTAGTTCAGTAAGACTTTGATGCTTGCAGGTGATTGCATGCTTCCACAAAAAGGTGTGAGACTTGGGACAACAGGTGTAATAAAAAGCTAAAAAAAAAAAAAAAGTGTGAGAGTTGCAATCTCTATTGTAAGCCAAAATATAAAAACATAAGAAAGGAATCCTACGAACTCTTGGTTATTCACAAATGGGGCCAACACTTCAACCATTAAGAAAAACAAAGCCTACTCATAAACGAAGATCTTATTTCATAAGAAGCAGGAGTACTTTCCATGTTATCCTACCATGAAAAAAAGTCGCATTCATCCTTTTAAGTAAGAAGCAGACAATACATGACATATATTATTATAAAAGATAACAAACAGGCAACATGAGTTTCCGTTGAACTAAAAAGAGGGTACCAATATGAGCAATCGATTATTGGATTGCAAGTAAGGATCAATAGCAACTTTAGTAGGAAGTAAAGGTGGAATCTGTCTTGTCCTCAACTGAGCTTCAACAATGGTATCATTGAGTTCACTGCATCAAACAAAACAGTCGGATCAGTGCACAAAAAAAGAGAAAAAGCACAAACTCTACCTATTTGGATATGCATAAAAAGAGAAAAAAATTTAAAGGACCAAATCTTTCTGGAAAGTGAAATAACCAATGACCAAACAGATGCCGTCGTGCACAGACAAATTATGGTTCTGAAGGCGTAGCTTTGCTACCTATTTTTCAAACATCATTTGCTGATCATGTCAATGGAGCCTTAAAGGCATTAAGCAACAAAATTGGTCATGTCATATATCCTGAGAAATTCACATTTTAGCATATCACCAACAGGCATGTAGCAATCGTAAAAGACAAGCAAAACCAGCTTCACAATTCTTTTTTATTTTTTCTTGTTATCTAATTCCACTTCTGATAATTTTAACTGCTATTTCCTTCTTAAATTAAATGCATCACATTCTGGTCAATGTAGTTGTAGTCAATATCGGTACAATATCCTTAATTCCGCTTCCAACCAACATGATATAAGAGCAAGAACAATATATCTGCAAGTTTTTCTCTGAAAACAAAAGAACAAAATAGGAAAAGAAAAAATAAGGTTATGGAAGTTAGCATCCAAAAATGTAATCACGATTGTATACTGCAAATCTGTCCTTGGGTACATCATTTTCTGATAGTTATTTAATTAAAGAAGATAAACTAAGTGAGGGAGTGCATCTAGTATAGCCATGCTTTATAGTACCCGATGTTGGACAATTACCAAACAACAAGCTCAAAAACCAGATAGGAAAGATTCAAGGAATGAAATATTTGGAATCAGTAAAAGTACCTCCAATAGGAGACATTAAAAAAGGACTTTAGTTAATTTGGCATTTTTTACAGAATACCAACCATTGGACTAGTGAGGAAGAGTGTTGTGATACTTTTTGACAATATTGTGGGGAGTATAGGGAGACACAAATTAGTGTTACATGAGAACAGAAAATATGGCCCTTAATAAAGCACGATGACCGAACACGATTCATATAGTGAACTCCAAATACTGGTGACAAGGTTCTATTTGAGTCAAAGTTGAGTTGATTTTGAGTTTCAGCAAGATATAGCAGAGATGGATTTTGAAGCCTGAATTTAGAAGATTTAAAGTAAAGACCTGTAGCATGTTATTTGAAATCCAACAAAAAAAGGTTTATTGTCGCATATGCACTGCAATTGGACAAAGCCCTACCTCTAATCCATTATCTCTCTCATCTCCATTAATCCAACTTTGATGAAAAATCCTTTAACACGCTTATGAGTGAGTCCAAATTCCTTTAGTCCTTTCATATAATAAGTCAATAATAACTAACAAGTAGAAAAGAACCATTCTCCTAATTGGAGTTTTTATGTAGTATTTGAAAGGTTGTCTTATTTTTCCATTTTCCACCTTCAATCTCAATATATATATATATATATATATATATATATATATATATATATATATATCTATTTGTACAATGGCACTGTTGAACTACCAAGGTCATAGCTAAGAATTATATCAACTATCATAAAAAATTAAACCCACAATTTTGCGGTGAAGTAACTCCATATCTTTCGTTTAATTATGAAACAAAAATTTTGCTTTCAGATCATCATCTTCTTCTTGTTTTACAGAAAGCTTGATTGAATCTATCAAAT